TTTTTTGAGAGGTTTTTGCTATAGGGCGTGTGTGCTCGCCAGAAAGACAGAGAGACAGAAAGTGAGAAATCACCGCCCAGGGGGGATGGCCATGCCAATCCCTTCTCCTCCAGCCTCCTCTTGGGATCTTGGGCACACACACACACATGTGTCCAGCCTAAGTTTAAGCCACCAGGTCCGGGTCTCGAACCATGGTCGAGTCCAGCAACATAGCCATTACACTAACTGCTGGTTCCCCCTCAGATTATATTTTAAAAGAATACAGAAAATGAGCTTTTTAAAAGAATCATTTAATTTTATTAATTATTATTATTACTATTTTAAATTTGATATATAACATGTACATTCAGCAAAGACAGAGAGAGAGAGAGAGAGAGAGAGAGAGAGAGAGAGAGAGAGAGAGAGAAAGTAAGCCTCCAGGTCCAGGACTCGAACCACAGTTGGCTATGTGGGAGTACAGTACCTTAACCAATGCACCACCTACTGGTCCCAGGTTTTCTTAAAAAGGACCAGGACCAGTTCTTGGGTCAGCAGGTGGCGCGGAGGTTAATATGGCTGGATCCCACATGGTCCAATTTCACAGTTCAGGTCATAGACCCAGAGGCTTAAACACACACACACACACACACACACACACACACACACACACCAATTCTGGATATTTAAAGTTTACCTAGTCAGATAACAACTTAACCTTCGTGTAGAGGACTATAAATCAAATAAAAACATGATTCTTAAAATAACTCTAGAAAAGCATGGTACTTTAACACCTATATTTTGGTAGAATGTGAACTCACAAAAAAGTAAACTCATCAAAATTTTACTTTCAATGGGGACAGATGGTGGCCAAAGAGCGAAACACAAGCCTCTGCGAGGCTGGCCAGGTGGGAGGGCTCTGGGCTTGCATCTGGAGACTTTCCTCAGTGCACTGGGCACACGCATCAGCCAGGACCCTGGGGAGGGTGCTATCCTTCTGTCTGTCAATCTCTCCCTGTATCCCTCATTTACGGAGAAATAACAAACTGTAAAAAATTATTAAAAAACTATTCCAGGGACAGCCTCTAGGTCAGCAATGTATTAAGGAACTTTCCCCAATAATATTCAATTTATCACTACAGAACTTGGCTGTAGTATTCTAGGCCAGGGTCAGCAAATTTTTTTCAGGTGTCAGGTAAGAAATATTTAATGAGCCAGTCCATGGTGTGGTGGCTGGGGCAGCTGGAACCCACTGCAAGGTTAAGAGTTCTGGATGTTAGGCACATATGCATGTGTGCCCTAAATCCCCAAAGCAGAAACGGATGACAAGGGAATGTGGTGTGACTGTCCCCAGGAGGCTTTTTTACTTTCTCTCTGGCAAGTGCATGTGCCCTTTGACATTAAAAAAAGAAATTAGGCTTTTTGGGATCACATGGTTTCTAGCAACAATTCGAATATTCCCTCTGCCCGTGTGGCATGCAAACTCTCCAGAGGCATCATGTAAAAGGAAGGGCATGGCCGTGCGTCAATAAAACTTTACAAAAGTAAGAGGTGGAACTGGACTGGGACAGCGTGCTGTTAATCTGTTATCTCCTGATTGAGGTTATGAATATCAATCCTTAAGAATCATAAACTCTGGGACCTGCAGTTAGCGTAATGGCTATGTCGCTGGACTCCCATGTAGTCGACTGTAGTTCAAGTCTCGGACCCGGTGGCTTAAAACTCACACTGTGTGTGTGTGTGTGCATGCGTGTGTGCCCAAGAACCCGAGAGAAGAATGGAGGAGAAGGGATTGTGGCGTGGCCATCCTCCCTGGGGGGTGATTTCTTGCTTTCTGTCTGGCAAGCATACGTGCCCTATAGCAAAAACCTCTCCAAAAAAAAAGAATCATAAGCTCTAAAATTTGATTCTTTCATTTATTTATGCTAATGACAGTAACAGTAACTAAAGTAATAAAAAAAATACAGTTTAAACAGAGTATTTTAATTTGGATCTTCAACTAACCAGAAAAATTCAACTACTCACAACAGCCAATACCTTAAGTATTCTAGTTCACTGACACTACTTAGTAAAGACATCAAGATTTTTTTAAAAAATCTATTAAAAATTCCTATTGCAGGAGCCAGCTGGTGGTGTGGTGGTTAAGGGCGCTGGACTACCACATGGCTGACTGTGGTTTCAGTCTTAAACCTGGCAGCTTGCTCTCTCACTTCCCCTCTCTCTGTCTCTCACTGTCAAAATTAAAAATAAAGTTAAGGAAAAGAATTCCTTTAAAAAATTACTATCGCGTATTACAAAATAGATCCCTATGCTGTCCTATTTTTCTAGACTTAGGGAAAACAGGACAATAATGAATGATGTATACGTGACTGGTATTCAAGTGTTAGGGTAAAAACAGATTGTATTACAAAAAAATCAGCTTATTTTTTTAATCCTATAGTAAGTCTAAACTCTTAAGGAAAGAAAAGTATTGGCAATACCAGGAATAAGTCAGGATTTTCTTTTTCTTGCTGGTAGAGTTTATTCAAATTCTCCTCTTCTTGCATAATAAGACTTTTTAGAGATTCCAGCTGGTCCTCCAATTCCTTACATTGTGACAGAACAAACTAGAAGAAGAGAAATTTTCATTAGCAACAAACCTCATATGACCATGTAACAGGATTAAGCACAACCTTGGGAGCTCATAGAAGATCAAGTTGTAGTCACCTCTTAGCAACTTACTATCATCTCAGATATTTATAGATCAATATTCTTCTGATTTCCACTCTGTGCCTTTGAGACATCCTGGGTAAACAGATGACCTGTTTGGGAACTCTCTAGTTAAATTGTTTTTTCCCTACCATTATTGAGATGTGATATAAGAGCTCTAGGGCCTTCCATGCCGTGTTTTAACAGCTCAAGCACTAAAGGCATTTTTGTTTTGTTTAGTTTAGTTTTTACCCTAGAGCACATACACTCACAGGAGACAGAGAAAAAGAGCAAGATAGCAAGAAATCACCCTCCACTCCCCCGAGGGAAGGCCAAGCTGCAACCCCGTCTTCTCTTTTCTCCTCTCAGGATTCTGAGCACACATGCACATGCACCTGAGGTATCTCTTAAGCTGATGGGTCTGGGACTCGATCCACACAGCTGGCAACGTGAGCTCCAGGCTGCCTTAACCTCCATCCCTCCTGCTGGCCCACTAAAGGCATTTTCTAAAAAGAAAAAAAACCTGCCGAGGGTATATGTGGTTACCAGAGAGAGAGAGAGAAAGCAACCCACAATAGGAAGTGGTCATGCCACAATCTCTTCTCCATTTTCTCCATCCTTTTCTCCTTGGGATTTTGGGAAAGCACACATGTGTCTGGTGTGTTTTTCAATTCACTAGGGCAAGGATTGAAACTGCAGTCAGCCCTGTGGAATCCAGCTCCCTTAACCACAAGGTCACTGAGGCCAGCCCATTAAAGGCATTTTAAAAGTAAGAGGGACCAGCAGATGGAGTTATGTTGCTGGACTCCCATGTAGTTAACTATGGTTCGAGTCCTGGACTCAGCAACTTAAAAGTCACACTGCGCACGTGTGTGTGCATGCCAAAATCCCGAGAGAAAAGTAGAGGAGAAGGGATTGTGGTGTGGCCATCCCCCAGGGGGGTGATTTCTCACTTTCTGTCTCTCAGTCTCTGTCTCTCCAACAAGCGTACGTGCTCTATAGCAAAAAAGCAAACAAACCAACAAAAAGTGAATAAAGAATACAACAGGAGCCAAAAGGTGGCACAGTGATAAAACGTGACACTCTGAAAGGCAAGGGCTGCTAGTCAAGTCTAGAGACTTTCTGAATATACTGGGTATGTGCTTGCTCATGACCCAGGGCTGGCTCAAGTCTAGGTAGACCTGGACATCAACACCCTGTTGAGGATACTCTCTCTCTTTCTTTGTTTCTCTCAATCAAAGACGACATAATAAACTTAAAAAATAAAAAGATGACGCAATGATACCAAAAAAAAGAACAAAAAAGGTCATACTGTAAGCAGCTACTTCTATGATTCAATTACCCTACTTTGAAATCCAAATGTGAGATTTGAGCAATGTATGAAATACATGAATGTATCACTTAATCCAAGCTATCCAATAAAGAAGAAATAGCTGCTTAAGATCTGCCCGCTGTCCACGTGATTGGGGCTAGACTCACGTATGTCTGGGGATGCTTCATTCTATAGCCAAGAAGCAGCCCATCACAGGCTATTACTCCACAGGATACAGGGGCTGAGGGGCAGGCTGCCACTGTCCAATATGACATGTGAATGGGAAAATAAGACGAACCTCAAATTCGTGAGCTTTCGCAAGCAGCATCTTTTCCAAATAAGCTGCCTTCTGGAGGGAGTGCTGTTGACTAGAAAGGAGCATGTGGGCGCTGGACTCTGCAGGCTGAGGGAGTCGATCCAGGGGCACGGAATTCTGGAGGAAGGCCTCTTTTGTCTTCTGCACATCACGCTGAAGCTCCTGGAAAAGAAACAGGGATCACAAAACACTTTCTTCTCCTCCTTTCAATCCCTCCCCACGCCTTGCTATCTCCTCGCCATTTGGGAGGATTTCTGCCCTTTGGCTTTTTGCTATTGTTTATTCTAAAAAGCTGAAAGGGACCCTTTTCCAAAAAGTGCTATGCATCACTGGTACTCTTCTGAAGTTTGTCAGTTCAGAGCTAAAACTGACCATGGGCCAACAGAGCTGAGGCTTATGTATATAGAAGCTTCTGGTGGAGACACCAGGCTGACTCATGTGCTTCCTTTTTAATTGTCTAACACTTTAGGGATCTGGTTTCACACCATTTCAAGAACCAATGCGACACTGGCCCCTGCCTCAGACTTTCTGACTTAAACGGATATTCATGTGCAGAGACTATAGAATCTCATTAATCAAGTTTACTTTAGTACTACTCTGGAAATAACGTGTGTGAAAATCTAGAAAGAGACCTTTCTATTTATTTTGTGCTTAAGCAATGGATCAGGTAGAAGTTGATTAGAAATGCAGATCACATCAGTTGGAGTTCTGTCTAACTGGTTACTATATTTCTATTTAACCTATAGTACTGGAAGATACAAAATGCATCTCAGTCCACTCAGCTTAAAACTAAAACGTATTCACTTTCTTGGCATTCGGTACTAGGAAAAACACCACAGAGGAGGTTACACAACTCCTAAACACAGTCTGCAAATTAGACACAGAAAAGGCGTGTTATCATAGCACAGAAGCATGCTTGCCTCTAAAGTAAGAGAGCAGATGTCTCTTCATCTTAGGGGATCACACTCAGTTAAGACATTTTTGCTGTTGTTTCAGGGTTCATGTGCAGCTTTCGTTTTAGTGATTGAACTTAGACTTGGAGGGAGATGGTGTCAGATCCCCCTGACCCAGGTTCCTGCTGCCTGGTTTGCCTCTGAGCTGCCCCCAGGTCCCCACAACCCCACACATCTCGGGCCTGTCCGTGTCCTATGCAGACTGCTCACAGCACCTGCTGACTGACTGACTTCTCTGTCACTATGGTCTGCTGTGCCTATGTCATCTCACCCTGACAGTTCACTGGGCTAATGTGGCTCTGAGTTGCCCCATGAGCTTTGTACCCACCTGTATGTCCTTCAGGGCAAGGGGCAGGATCTCTGCCAGGTTGTTTCCAGATAGGTTGATGTTTGCGAGCTGCTGAAACTTTGCTTCCTGCTGCCCCAGCCTTGCTGCAGCCTCAGCATGAGTACTGGTGTAGGTCTTCCAGAGCTGGAGCAGACTCTGTGCCTGCTGCAGCTGGTCTGCAATGGCCTGGTTCACCTGGGCCCACCTGTCAGCAAAAGGAATGACAGGACCTTCATTCCATCCTTCCCCTTGTAGAACAAGTACAATACATTCTCTCCACCAGTAAGTTAACTGCAGATAGATTAGTGAGACACGGCTATATATACGCTCTTAAAACTAATGGCATCACCATTATATAAACGGAAATAAAAATAGGCCACATACTTAACCTTGTAAAATTCAATAAGAACTACAAAATCTATGACTGGCAAAAGCGTAAACTTTTTTTTTGGGGGGGGTGGAGTGAGGGCGGCTACAAGGGCATTCATGCTCACCAGAGAGAGGAGAGAGGGAAAGTGAGAAATCATCCCCGGGGAGGATGGCCACACTGAAATCTCTTCTCCATTCTCTTCTGGGATTTTGGGCACATAGGCACATGCCTCTGGTTTGTTTTTCAAGCCACCAGGTCCAGGACTCGAACCCCCATGGTCAACCATGTAGGATCCAGCTGCCTTAACCTCCTAGCCACCTGCTGGCCTATCTATGTATGTTTTTCAGTGTCCTCTAACATATTTTTGTTTAAAAAGTTATTTTATTTTTAAAAACTTATTCATTTGTTTCTTCTGAGACACCACACACACTCCTCATGCGGTCTCCACACTGTAGTTCGTCCAGAATCACAGGAAGCTGTATCATGGGCATGCACGTGCAAGCCTGAGATGTACAAGGAGGCCCTGGGATGTGAACTGCAGACACTCACATAGGGCCAGGGGCAGCACTGCTGTCCCACCTCCTGGACCCCTTCCAACATAATTCTGTGCCAACAACTGAACATGTACGTGCAGTGGTGACAACTGAATCCCTTTAAAGCAAACTGCACTGCCACATTTTGAGGGTGGCATATATTAGGTTGTTGGGAAAGTCATGACACATTTTTTTGCACAGGAAAATATGTCATGACTTTCCAGACAACCTAATGTATTTATGTTCCTTCTTACGCTTTCTCCTCTCCCTCTTCCATTAAGGAGCAGATCAAGAGCTGAGGACACCACTGCAGTGTGCATAATTTAATGTCATTTATTCAGCAGTGGCTCAGTTGACTTACAGGAGAGGCTGAATCTGCATGGCAGCAGGGTAGAGAAGGACACACAAGATAACCTAGCATTTCACTACTGTCTCAAGCACATCAGCTTTGGGCTAATGTCCCTATTTCATTCATCAAAAGAAAAGCCTTGAAATGAACTAGAGCCGTACTCCTCCAAAGGAGCTTTCATATCCTACCATAAGAAGTTCATCAAAGAATTTCACCTCATCCGCCCCAAATGACCTTCCAAAGAGACAGAATACCATTCTCTTTTTTCCCCCTTAAACTATTGGGTTATGGAGAAAAGCATGATGCATTTTTGCATAGAAAACCAGAAAAATACATCATGACTTTTCCGACGACCTAGTATTTTCCGTGTTACTGCATGCTTCCTTGTAGGCTTCCATCTGCACCCTCACCCCGGTCTGCTTCAGCCTCTGATTTCCCCGACACAGTACTTGGCATTTAGCCTATGCCCTCCGCAAGTGACCACACTGGGGCTGGAATCAGGGCACGCCTAGGTTGATCATATCGAACATTTGTACAAGACACCTAATAGCCCTCATGGCACTGAATCTCGCATGGACTAGATTCACCCAAGTACAGGAAACGACAATAGAATGAAATCATTCATCTCAAATGATTAAAATGATTTCGTGAGGCTGATGCCACCTCACTCACCCTATGTCTTGAAGATAATCATCTGTCGTTCAAATTATACCTTAAAGCATACCTTGTATGAGTATCCTGGCATTTCTCTTGGATTATTTCAGCAACTGAAGGGCAGAAACTCTTGAGTTTGCCAATGACCTCCTGGAGTTTTCCCCAACTCCCTTCACTGCTCTCAGCTTCATCTTGAAGAGACTAAAAAACACA